TCCAAAATTCCTCTGCGTTGATGATAAGAAAGTATCAATGCTTAAGTATTTGAGACAAAAACAGTGAAGGGTAAAGTAAAGAGGAAACAAAGTGGAAAGCGACAGCTTTGCATCATCAGGAGTGGTTGTACAGAATGCTAATGTGAGAGGCATCCCGGGCGGGTTGAGTCCAGCCAAGGGTACCGCGGAGGAAAGGGCTGGTGTTCGCCTTTGAAAAGGCTAGCGAATGAAAATGCCCCGGAGCCCACTTTCGCCCCTGAAAGTAATCTAAGCAACAGCAACTAGTTTTCCCTGTTGCTATCAGAGAGGGCAGTTGTATACCACTAACTTCTTGGATACTATTATCTATGTTTTGAATCTTCTAGTATAATTTTCTAATGATTTATTAGAAACTGGGTGAGTTTACCTTGTAGTAATACAACAAACACTATTATATACAAGAAATTCTGCTTTTTATACATGATACCTTTAACTTAAGTCTTCATATTGATTACAACAGAAAAGTTACCAGGCATTTTAAAAATCTTGACTCGTCAGTAGTTTTGCCATTAAAAAATTCCATGGAAGTGGTCATAGGGAAATAAACTTTTATATTCAATTATTTGTTTCTCTTCATAATAAGCAAATATTTATTTCAGCAGTAAAAGCCATGACGGAGATAAATTTATTCCTGCTCCACCTTCTTCTCCATTGAGGAAACAGGAACTAGAAAACTTGAAGTGAGTATTATTTAAGCAAAAATAACATTGCAGCTACTCAGATGCACACACTAGGCTTTTCCTCCCTTATTCTGTTGAATTATATTGACTAAATATCAGATGTTAAACCAGCCTTGCAATCTCGTGATAAGCCCTACTGTTTTTTACATATATAAACTGCTGGGTTCAACATATTGTTTATTAATATTCCTTCTGTGTTCACAAGGAAAGTTTATCCATACTGTACTTATAGTAAGTGTGTGTCAGATTTGGTTTTAGAATTAAGCTGGGCACATCAATCAGTGAGGGAGCGCCCTCCTCTTGTGTTTTCCGAAAGAGCTTGTGTGATACAGCTCTTATTCCCTCACATGTTCACAGGCTTCTCAGGGAAACCACGCTGGTCAGTCATAACCCTGATTTCGCAGCAGTTGTAACATCACAGATTTTCTATTTCACCTTACCCCTGTTTAGGTAAGGCGATGCC